TGTAGCGCTTTCGCCAGGGGCGAGCACTACAGGTATTGTCCGCATTGCCGGTACACGAAAGCTACCTTGTTGAGCATTTAGACGAGTGAGATAAACGTTTAACAGAATTTCTTGTGGGACCAAGCAACGAGCTCGAAGAGCTATCCGTGTGGCAAGTTCATCTTCCGTCCTGGCCTAGGGCCCGATGATGTGGACGCGTAACGATCGACTTACCGCGTCCTTTACTTCCACAGCGGGGTCCGCTGGGCAGAAGCCATATTCCACAAGAGGGTCAATGACCGGCCGTGGATGGGTGCGCCTGAGAGCCGCTTTATAAGCAGCTTCATGCTGCCGCCTCTGAGCCCCGTCGAAGTCATTGGTAATTACACCACGTTTCTTGGTTGAAGAGAAGTCAGGGAACGGACATGGGATCCGTAAGGCGCGAGCAGGGCTCGTATCACGCTGCTGGCGCAGCTCGCCTTCCTCGTCATCCCATACGGGAAAAGGAGTGTCAGACTATTAGTCGACCACCTTCACATTCTCAAGGAGGTCACTCGTCATTGATAGCGTGCGCAAAGCGCGACGCTCGTGCTCATTCAGCCTAGGATGTATATCTCCCGGTGCCGCGGACGCACTGTCCGACATCGCACCCCGTGCGGGAGACGATGTTGGGCTCTGCCCCTGCTCGCTGTCAGAACCAGCGAGACTTGATGGTTTTCATGTTGTGGACACACGGTTCATTGAGCAAGGAAGTTGTTTTATCCCAACAAATTAAGTTGCAGTGTCTAGCGGACACGCGAGCCTCGTTGAGGTGTATAATCGATCGGAACTGTAAGTCTTAATGGGGGAGGGTGTAACGGGGTTACACGTTCCCCATAATGGGGTGTGTATCACACGAGATGTGCATGGTGTGACCACACCCAAACAAGAATACAGTACGGGGCTAGATAATGCATGTATTTAGATTTTACTATTATATTTAGGATAATCTATACTTTTAAAATTAGGCAACTTTGCCGCAGATAAAACAAATAAATGCAATTAACATTTTAAACAGAAGTGTTTATTAGCCTTGGATAAGGCAATAATTACTCTTGGAGAAAGCGGATTGCGATCCGCTAACTCGTACTTCTTCTAAGTATCGAACGAAAGGTAGGATATCTAAATTACGCTTCCTCAAGCGCTAAGCTACGGCAGCCCGCTGCAACATATCTCTACAATACCCACCCCAATTGACATCAATGGTGTGGTGACCCTCCAAGCGCTTTCAAAAGTAGGCTTCGGTCTTTATCTTGCCGTTCAGGTATGAGTTCAGCTAAATTTTGTCGCAAAACTAATGATTTATCTAAATTGGATTGAATGGCACGCACAGGGTGCCCAACGCTAGGGAATGGAAGCCAAGATAAAAGCCAACATGTCGATACAAGAGGCAAGAATATACCACACGAACATGTTGTCAAGTGCAATTAACTTACCTTCACATAAAGATCCTGCCGTCTATACATCTGGCGAGTATGCGAGCACACCTTGTGCTCTTTGCGAGCTTAATGAAGTCATGCCACGATTCCGCTCTTTTGAGCCGATCAGATGCGAAGCACTCGGTGCAGACGGTGCAACGTCATAACCATCTCTGTAATTAAAAGTCCCTTTGCTTCAAAGTAGCGATCAGCTTCTACCGCTAACGGTACCTCAAGGTAGGAAGAATGAAGTAGTGAAGCTCTAAAGCAATTCAACATATGGCTTAAATAAGTCCTGGGTCACACCGTAACTCTCACAGAGGATAGATATGCCGCCACAGCCGAGAGAGCTAACGAGAGCCAGTTGCAAGATGATCGCCATCTGAGAAAGGTGTGGAGCCAAATCGCTTTGCAAGCCGCTTGGTACACAAGGGCTGTTATCAGTGCCTGGTGAAGTGGAAGGGGGTTCCTTTGGTCTGAAAAGTTTGAGATTCAGTTTTACAAGGTCAAACTAGTGCCTTCCTGCAAACGACCTGGTACACTCTCGGTTATTTTCAATCTTGGAGAAAACACAGGGTGACCATCGCATCGCACTTCTCATTAATGGGAGCAATCGACCTTGCGGTGAACAAGAGCCTTGGTTGGTAGCCATTACAGCTGCCTATGAAGACGAGCAAGCCTTGGAACAACAGGATGCGTGAGATGACGGGGTGTCATCTCGACGTCAGCGTCGTTCTTTGTACTTTGTAAAGTCAAGCGTAAGACAATACTCGCGGTGGACGCCCGCTTCACCGAAGGAGGTCTCTAAGGTCCAGACAGGTGATATCGCGTGTTTTTCTTGCCCAGCGTTTGATCCGAGTCTGAAACCCAGCGGCATCTCAGTCAGCTTCTAGCACCCAAGGCTCATCCACACGAAAAACACGAGTTTCGCCGCCACTATTGATTTGAGCTCAGACGCTAATTATTTGTGTTGCTCTTTGTTCAAGCTGAAACGTTGATGTCCGCAAGCATAGTTGCGGGAGTGATCCACCCCTTTCCCGAAGGCAATTTGTTGTGTCATTTTGCTCTGGGTGCGAGCCAAAGCACCACCTGCATAGGCATGTAGCAGCTCCACACCAGCGCGGCGAGCTACTTGAACGATTTCAAATCGCAACCAAGGCTTGATGTAGGTAGAGATTCGTGCGCTTGAATGGGCTGATTGAACCAGGTCTAATTTGTAAATAGTGAGCTAAATAATGTCGTGAGATCCACGGCGGGGTGCCAACGTACCCTTCGCTGCCAGAAATAGCCACTAAAAAAGCCGTCACCACAATAAATGAGCTGAAGAATTGAAGAATCTTCTGTTTGTACGTTTGTTATCTTAAGAAGTCAATCAATGCTGAGACTTTCGAAGCATACTTGACATGGTGACGAATGCAATTTGACATTGTGCCTTGATCTCATTTAAAGCAAGTATTTGACTTTACTATTGATTCATACCATGTCGTATGATGTACTGTACCCAGCAAAGATGACACCACGTATTGATGATGGTAATACGTAAATGTTTAGCGTACAAGACTCAAATTTCTTGACAAAAGCACATGTAGTTGTTTTAAGATCTGCAGATATGATACTAATGAGATGGCAATAGTGCTACCAAAGATCAACTCAAGGCCGTTTGTTAATTTTACGATGCATTACAAGCATGTTATGCACGTTGAACATATACTTTTAACCAGGTAATAGTCAATGGAACTGATAGCTAATAAGAATGTGAACAGTTCTTGACAATAACGGTCATATGTGAAGTTATGTAAAAAGCGTCGGTTAGTTTCACAACTTAAGATCAAAAGGCAGCACAAACTCATGTCGTCTGATGTAAACATGAAAGATCCAAAGGTACAAGCGGAGTTGTACATGGCTTCTCATGGTATCAAAGAGCTCTTTCATCGTCTAGGAGCTTTACTCTTATATCACCGTCCGTCCAATCCTCGCGAATTCCTATTTCAATCACTTAAAAAGATGCAAGATGCAAAGCAAACGCAACGCCATGTAAGGCTAACGACAATTGTGATTAAATTGTTGAATCTTTTAACATGATTGCAGATTCCATTCTTTGACGATAAAGATCTCAAAGCAATGTTTCTTGCATTTGATATCAAGGAACAAGGATATATCACTTTAGAACAATATGATCAAGGTCTTTCATGTTCAAAACATTTGTCTGTCAATGAAAAATCGTTAACCTTTTCTTGTGTTTAGCATTACTGAACTTCGGCATTGAAACCCCAACGATTTGCTTACCTGAGTCTGCGACTATGATCGGTCAAGCGCTTTTTATTCGCAGTGTGTATGTACTTGTGTTTATCGAAGTTTTTACTCTGTTTTTCATCTTCGATCTGATCATACAGGACACAAGAGCTTAAACATGCATCAGCCTCGTTCATGTAAAGGACTTTGAATCAAATAAGTAATGAAGGAAAAGTTTTTAATTGCTACATTCAAATCATTCATCAAAGCACAGAGTTAGCATGAAAGCGTTCGTCCGTTAATTGAGTTTTAGTGTAATCGCAAACATATAAATAGAGAAGCTAAAGAAACTTCATACCGTTCAAGATCACGTCCATTGCTTCTTCCCATGATATTCACAATCGCGTGAGATCAAAGTATGTCAATTCTTTGATCTTCATTATCAAATATTCCTTCAAGAAGATTCATTTGAAATGGTACACGAAGGTATTCCAATTCTCTTTCGTTTCTTAATCATCTCGTTTGCAGTCGTTGCAACTGGATTAGCTGGATCAGGTGGAATTAAAAGCTGCACATATGGTCAAGAACTCTATCAATCAAGTCATCAAGTGTATTTTTTTCTCATTATTGGTATCCTCGTCATTCTAGCATATACCATTCGTCTCTTAATCTTTGATGTTCGCAAACTTCGATTACCACGACCACGTGTCTTTGTAATCTTTGATTCAATATGGTTTTTACTTACTTTTGCTTCTGCTGTCGCTGTTTCAGCTGCACCAGTTGGTTCATCAATCTGTTCTGGAATTGACAACGATCTGGTCATTTTATTCCAAGAAGTTTGTAATTTCAAGTGTTCAAATCTAGTGACAGCAATTATTGCAATGTTTTTAACTTCCATTTCTATTCTCATGGATCTTCTCTTCATTACAAGTGTCATCTCCATTCACAACAGTGACATTCCGGCTGAAGACTTTAGTTTTAATGAAAAAGTTCAGACTATACGTCGTGGTGCTGTTTAAGATAGAAACGAAAAAAGTATTGTTTTGATCACAATAATAGTATTTCTATAAATATAACCCTGTTGTACCACGTTTCTGGTACCCACGGTACTCCGTGGTTGTGCTGCCCCAGTCTTTAAAATCGCCCCACCAACGTTCGTCTTCCACTCGCTACAAGATGGTGCGTACATTTTGATTTACGTGATCGTACATTTTCACTTACCATCGTACAATTAGACAGAACCAATGCGTGAAGAATATCCATCTCTTGATCAACGAGGAGGAAATTCTTCGTTAACATCAGGATATGGATCACGTGATGAGTTTCGTCGTCGTAGTGAAAGTCGTGAGCAGTATGACATGCGATTTCGTACCTCACGAAATCGTAGTCGTAGTCGTAGTCCACGTCGAGGACGTGATCAAGTGGAATCAAGTTTACGTTATGATGAGAATCCTCGAGACTCACGTGGTCTCGAACCTTTAATATCCTATAAAGTTTGGATGATGCAACAAACTGATGAATTAACACCTGAAGGCTATCAACAACGTTATGAAGAGTATAAAAAGAAACATATTCAACGTGTTTTACGTGCATTCTTTGATCTGCATAAACGAGAAGAATGGTTACAAGAACGTTATTCTCCTGCTTTACGTGCTCGTGTGGAAAAGATCAAAACAACGCATCAAATGAACGAAGCAAAACACTTTAAAGAACGTATTTTGTCTGGAGTCGCAACAATTTGTTTTGATGAAATGACAGCAAACGAAGGAATGACCAAGGCTACAGATTTTGTCAATGATGTCGAAGATAGTGCCCGTATTTTGTACATTCGACGTGTACCATGTGCATGTCCAATTGGTACTTTAAGTGAAGCAATTAAAAAAGCGGTACGTCATGTTAATTCTATTTCTTGCATTTCTATCTGAGTTTCTTAAACTTTTTTCATTTCTATTTTAGGGTGGACCATATCTTCATTTGTACTTATCCGATCCAGTGAAAAAGAGTGCGTTCGATTTTGATCGTTCTGCGTACATTTTATACGATTCCCCAACTACAGCTAGTGAAGCAATGCCAAAACTTCATAATACATTTGTGGAAGATAATACGCAGTTTCCACCATTTCGTCTACAAGTATCTCCACATCGTGCACGTGCTCCATTAAAAACACCATCGTATTTGTCGGTTCCAACTCGAATTGAAGTGGATTTGACACAAGCTTTACGTCTTGCTCAAGCTTTAGACACACGTTTATTTGAATTGAATCAAGAGAAATGTGATCAAGTTGGAATTCATGCTTTACTTTCATTGGAACAAGTTCTTGTCAAATATCCAAGTGCTAAAGAACAATTAGATTTGGTTATTGCTTACTTACGTCGTGTTCATCATTATATTTATTACGCTGGTGTCCAATGTCGTGATATGGGTGATATCTTACATGCTCATCCTGCACTCTTTTGTCGTCCACCACCATCTTTACGTGATTTAGAAGAAGAAAAAACACGACATGAAGAAAATGAACGATTGAATGATGAAAATGGAAGTCAAGAACCACGTCAAACAATTCGAGGATGGGCAGCAGCTTTGGATGAAAAAGTTTCAATGTATTTGAAAGAATTAGAACCAGAAGAATTACAAGCGAAACGAGTGAAAGAACGAGCATTAGTTGATGAAATTGAAACACGTGAAGAAATTGCATTGGAAAGCACATATGCGAATTATGGTGAAAAAGCAAGTGAAGATGGAAAACATCGATGTCGATTGTGTACGAAATTGTTTAAAGCTTTGGATTTTGTCAAGAAACACATACGAAATAAACATCCAGAATTAGTGGTGGATAAAATTGCCGAAGTTGGAGAAAGTTATATGTGGGAACAATATCGACAAGATGAACAACGTCCAATGCCACCACTTGAAACAAGTTCAAGTGTATCAAGTGGTGCAGTACTTGGTGGACGAGGTGGAAATTTTGGACGAAATTATAACAATTCTCGACATCGATTTGAACGTGAGAATGGAGGACGTGGGTTTATGCGAGATGAGCAATTTCGAACTCGTGGATTTGCTATACGTGATGATCGAATGCGACGAAATTCATTTGATCGTTCAATGCGTTCCCCACCACGAGGTTCAAATCGTAGTGGTTATGGTCATTCTCCATCACGTTATCCTGCACCATCTCGACTTCCTGATACTGAATTACCAATTGATCCACGTCAAATCTCGACGTCGTATCGGGATTTGGACAATTTAATTGATCCAAAAGTCGAATTAACGTTTGATGCACTTGATACTTTACCACCTCCAAAGAAAAAATCTAAAGTAGGAATGTAAATCGATTCGTTTGGTTGAATTAAAGCGTTAATTTCAACACTTTTGATCTTTTTTTCTCTTTAATACTTTGGTCTTGTTTGAATGAAATCAATTGTTGGGAATTTCTTGAAATGAAATTGAATTGCTACATCACGTAACAAATTTGAAAAAGTCTCAACATCAATTTCGTTCGAGATTCCAGTAGTTTGAAATTGAATAAACGTTTGAGTTGAACGTGTTTGAATGTTGAAATTTTGACAAAGTTTCACAACAAGTTTCGAATCTTTTTCCAATCCAAACCATTTTGAAATTTCATCTACTGGAATCCATTCGTGACTGCGAAAGCTTTTTTTCATCATTTCGATACTTTGTGTCCAAATTCTTGTCAAATGACGTAATGCAAGCGCTTGTTCCAATCTTGACATAGTATGAAATTGAATCCAAAATTCATGATAGTCGTCAGTTTGTAAAGCGACGAATGTACGTAAAGCACGTTGAACATTTGAGACTTGACGTTGAGGAGATGAAGATTTGAGTAAAATTGATGCAATAGTTTGCGAATCTTTAGCGTGAAGTAAAAGATTGTACGCAAGAAATTCACTGATTTCATGTGCGTCCATATTTGTTTGATCGTACAACATTTGAAGCTCCGAGAGTGCAGAAATTAACTGTTGGTCGTGCAATTTTTCACTCCAATCTTGGCACAATGTTCCACTGGGTACCAATTCGATGGCACGTAATCCTGTTATGATATAAAAGCGTACAATTTGTTCCAAGGCTGTTATGTAGGATGTACCAGTAATTTGCTACATAGTATTTCATGAGTATCAAATTATTCATATTAAAAAAAAGAGTATTATGAATTACCTGAATGATATAATCCTGGCGTATACTGCGTATACGGTCACTTACAAAGTGGTATACCGCGAGAAATTCGGTACGTTCTACCGCATTGGAATTTTTGCATATATCAATGCGAGGTAGTACTGTCGTGAATAAATACTGCAAAGTACGTTGTAGTACTATTTCGGGTCGTAGATCTGATGGATCAGTTAGATTGCGACCGGCAGCAGCACGACGATATTTCTTCACAGGTACTAGATCTGGAGCTTCTTTTGTTGGACATTCAAAACGACTAAGTTCCTGCGTTTGAGTCCGTTCGATTCTTTCTTTAGCAGGACAAAAGTCATAGCAGTTTCCACGTATTGGCTCAGGAAATGACGACATTTGAGAAAATCTAGTAGTGCTTTTGCTGTAGTAGTACTACTACTACCTTCTTACTACTATCTTAAAGTTATTACAATATTCTTCTGCTATTATTGTACTGCAACGGAAATCTATGAAAAAGAAATGGGACTCATTATCCATTCGTGCTATTCACACTTCAACGTGTTCTTATAAAGTTACTTTGCTTTTGACAGACAATGGATGTACTATCTGTGAATGCTACGTCTCTATCGCGTTCATCTGGGAGCTCGAAGATGATCAAATCAGACTCTCGTTTTAAAATGGACGAGACATGGTCGTTGACTTCCAACAATGACGCACAGCCAGAGTTTCGACCTGTTGTTACTGACACAAAAGCAACACGATGTTATCGTCCTAAACAATGGAGTCTTGAAGCTGAGGAGGCGTTTCGCGTTCAACAAACGGGTTGGCGTGATATAAAAGAATACATGGAAACATACGGGGAACCGGAACGCTGGCAAAATGGCTATGTGCGCTGTACGCGTGTTAAAGCCAATGGATTCTATACTTACTGGCAACCACATCGCGAGTGCGACGATAAGTATTTACACATTGTCAAGCTTTTCGAGTATGCATAACCTTTAGATTTTCTGCTACTCTACAAAATTGAGCTGACCAAGTGCTAATACAATACCCAGTAATACAATAGCAATTGTCACGAGTACGCTATTGGACTCACTGGATTTTGTCACTTGCTGTTGACAAGCACCTTCCACATTTTTCGGCGTCTTTGACTTTAACAATCGTCCACCCCATCGCTTCTTTTCTTCTTTTTTCTGATCAGCCAACTTTTGATTTAACAATATCATAGCATTACGAATCTTTTTGTCCGTTGGTCGATTGTTTGCTGCTTTCGTCAGTTTTTCCTTAGCGTTAGCTAGATCTCCTGTAAGGAGCAACGCGTATCCAGCACGATACAACGCTTTGTCATTATCAGAGTCTATGGCAAGAGCCAAATTGGCATTTTCAATGACCTTGGCTAGTATTTGCTCGTCCTGCTTCCCATCTTTTGGAGCTCCTTGGACTAGAAAACACGCAGCTAAGTTCAAATACACTGGCAGTCTCACTACATTCACATCCGCTCGATTTCTTGGTGTAAACTAGAGAAATACTAATGTTAGTATTAACAACACCCAGGTAAAGTTTAATGAGCTACACACCTCAAAATGCCATGTGCCTTCGTCAAAGTCCACGTGGTATAGTGCACGCTCGTACCACTTGATTGCTTCATCAACATTTCCGATTTTAAATTGCGCTGACCCTCGTTGGCGGCAGAGATCAGCACGCTCGACACGCGTCTCAAAAATGCAAGAGCGTTCCTTTAAATGTACAAAAAAAATTGTCAAATTTCACATAGAAAACCAAGATAGAGACATAGAACAAAATACTTCGTGTAATAGTATTTGAGTCATTCTGTCCATGTCAGCATTAGCTTGTTTGGTTGATGTGGCTGAGGAATTGGACGCTGCCACGGCAACATCTTCCGTTGAGGACGTCATTGCACCAAATCAAAATTCGCAAGATAATATGCGTAGCATTTAAATATTACAATATCAAAAATAATTTCATTGTTTTAGAAGCACAAGATTTAGTAAAAATATAGCAGATCTATATGTGCTCACCAATACTTGTCAGGATTTACCATCAAGGTGAAAGGAAATCAGGCGCAATTTGTCGGTATGTATTGAGTTCATTTATATTACAATACGTTGCCTGCGAAAGACAGGAACTAGTTTTTTGTTATCATTTATCTTCAAAAAGATTAGTCATGGATGGATTCACGGTCCATTCGTTTGAGGCCTTCGTCCTCGCCTAGTTGCTTGGATCTGATCATCCTTCACCGTGCGACCATTGTAAGAACTTCGTGACGTATGCGTTTTCGTAATCCTCGAGCTGTGTCGATGAATCGATCGCCGACGAAAAACGGAGGTTGCTTGTTGCGTACTAGCTTGTTCAAGTGCTTGACTTCGCTTTTTATAGGCCACTGGGTCCAACGATTTCCAGCGTCGTCGAACTTGTGCGTCGGTGCGACCTTCAAGTTCCGCAGCAAGTCGAGGCCAAAGTCTTGCTGACTCAACTCCCCACTCTTGCACTCTAGCAAGAATAGTTTGATCTTCCTTTTTCGTAAATTTTCGAAACGACAAGTCGGGATTTAGACAATTGAGGTACCGATCACGTAGCGCTGGTTGCGTTCGGCCGGGCACATGATGGCAAATATCATTCCAAGCAACATCGTCTACATCAAACTCTTGACCATGAGAAATATAAGCTCGAAGTGCCAATAATAGCCGTCGATCTTCAATCACGGAGAATTTGCCACGTCGAAGACCTGGAGCAAGTGTAAGTTGCCAGCGATGACGTATTTGCTCTGACAATCGACCGTCTAATAAATCTGCAATCACGTTCCATTTTTCACCAAATATTGGCACTGCTTGACGTATTAAATCATCTTCTTCTGCAGAGAAGCCCGATTTCGCATTGTCTGCACGTAGCGCAGTTTGAAATCGAGTCAAACAGTGCACTGGTGGTCTTCCAGGAAAAGGCATGTGTTTAGCAATGTCACACCATTGATTTACTAAAGCAGGATCTTCTTCACCCGTTGCTAAGCGTCGTAGCGCAGCGTCTTCTTCCTTAGTCCATGCGCAAAGACGAAGCTTTGGAGACTCGTGAAGATCGTACCATAATTTACAAGCACAACCTGATCGTTCAATTGGGAGTTGCCTTGAACGTCTTAGCTTTTGCCACTTTTCAATTCCATTCCACACCTGCAACGACATTTCCACAGTTGGTGCATGCGTCATATAAAACTCTTCAGCAAATTCTTTAACTACATGGCGTTCTCGAGCTGAAAATGTAGTAGAAGGACTTGCAACGAACGCCTCGTGACTATGAGCACGTAGAAATACTGTATCAGCATTTGGAAAAGGCTCTGAAGCAGCTTGGAGCTTCGTTAGCTCCTGATCATATCCGTTTAATGTCTTAAGCTTTTTCTTCTTGGGTCTTCCAACTTTCCGCTCACGTTCGGCTTCATCGGTAAAGAAGGAATGATGTTGCCGAATATATGACCGCGATCCCACTCCAGCGTGTTTTTTAGTCCCTCGTGGGTTTTTTTCATAGCGCCGTAATATTGTGTCTTTTACGGAACTATGGGGCAGCAATAATTTCATGGCATGCTGAGCTCTTCGCATAGCCATTTGACGACGAAGTGATTGAATTTTCGTCAATAAGTTTGTCTCTTCGTTTGCAAATATGTCATTTAGACTTTGAAGCTTTGCTACAAGAGCGCGATTCGCGTCGAGAGCCTCTACGACAGCTGAAGTATTCATTTTTTTTTTTAAAGGATTGGAACAATTAAATTTAATAAAGTTATATATTCTAAAATTCCATATTGAAATGAAGAACCCCCAGTTGCTTACAGAGCAGATGCGTGCTGCTACGCGCGAGATTCACAATATCTCGGACAAGTAGGACTCAACTTTACTTCCATTGTATG